GTCCAAAATGACTCGAAAAATGCTGTAAAATGACAAAATTTGTTCAGAATTAGATGAAAATTATCCAAATTTAATAAAAATATGTCCAACATGACATGAGAATCTTTCAAAGGGAACTGAAAATATTCAAAGTAATTTAAAGTTATCCAAAGTGACTCAAAAATAGTTTAGAATGACATTAAAATGGTCCAAAATTACTTAAAATAGATATCCAAAATGATGTGAAAATGATCTAAAATTACATCAATTCCAGCTGAGAATCAGAACGACACGTCAATGATCCAAAAATTATTCAAAATGACTCGAAATTATCAAAATCAACTGAAGATTTGTTCAGAATGACATGAAATTTACCTAAAATGACTCTAAGATTTATCTAACATTTGGAAAACTACAGAAAATTTGTCCAAGATGACTTTAAAATTATCCAAAATTATCAAAATTGACTAAAGATTTGTTCAAAATGACTCTAAAATGATCCAAAATTACAGAAAATTTGTTCAGGATGATACAAAAATAGTCTAAAATGACTCAGAAGTTGTCCAAATTTACTCAAAAATCATCCATATTGACTGAAAAGCTGCTTAGAATGACATGAAAGTTAGAAAAATGAAGCACAGTTTGTCCAAAATGACTCAAAATGATCAAAATTTGTCACAGATGACTTGAAAATGATCCAGAATTATAGAAAACCAGGAAAAGCCCATTGAAGTGATAAATCTGGAGCCTCCTCTGTGGACTACAAGGTTCTGGACCTCTGGAACATTCACAGTCTGAAGGTAGAACTCTGGTCAGTAAAGGTTCTGCAGATACAGAACCAGATGTTCTGAGGAGGTCACATGAAGGTTCTGGTTGATTTTCCACGTATAAACCAGGCGTTTACCTTCTCCAGGTCTTGAGGTGTCGCTGACAGCAGCGTCTGCCCGCTGCTGATCCAGTGTCGACCCAGAATCCCGTACTGACCCAGTCCGATGTCCTCGAGCCAATCGCAGACCTGCTCGGTGCTCCACTTGGAGAACGGCATCTTCAGATCTCTGGAGGAAGAAGAGGACGGACATCAGCATTCAGGTTTGTTTGCTGCCCAAACAGAACCGGTGTTAGGTCGTGGTTCGGTACCGTGTTTTCCCCGATCGGGCCAGTCGGGGTCCAGCGGTGGCTCTGAAGCCTCCTCTTTTGAACTCCCCCATGTCTGCGTCGTGAACCTGGACCGGACTTCCCGACTGGCTGCGACGGATCCTGAGGACGGATCGGTTCGTCAGAAAACACAGATAGGAGAACAAATGTGGAGAACCGGGCTGCGGTTCTTCTGGACTTACTTCCCCCAGAGCTTCCTGATGCCTCTGTGGGTCTTCCTGTTCTCGGGTGAAACCGGACTCTGCTGTCCAGAGTCGACTCCGGAGGATACCGGCGACTGATCCGACAGGACCGACTCCTCCAGCTTGTCTGAGCGTCCTGCAGGTCACAAAACACAAGAACCGGATCACTGGAACCGAACAAAACCGGGCCAGAAGACTGGAGAGCTGAGTTAATGTAGCTGTTTCACATGAATGGCTTCTTCAGCTAATTCTGTTTCTGAACACAAAGAGTCCTAAAACAAGCTAAAAGAGACAAAAAATAACTCAAAAATGACTCTGGATCGTCTCAGACGGACGCAAAAAGGCTGCAAGACAGATCTGAAACACTAAAAGAAAACAAAACGACTGTGAAGTTACTAACAAATGTGAAACAAACACAAAGAGAGACTGAAAAACTGCAAAAAGACACCAGACGACTAGAGAAACACTAAACAGAAGAACAACAACCAACCAGAGATGCAAAAAAAACACAAAACTATTGCAAAAAGATGCAAAACAACAATAAAACAGACACAAAATGACAGCAAACAACCACAGAAAGGAAAAACAACGAAGTAGAGAAGCACGACAGACGCAAAGACACACAAAACTACTNTGTAAACATACACAAAAATACCACAAACAAGCCTGAAACAACCACAAAGAGATAAAACAAGCTTCACAAAGACACCGAGTGACCACAAAGAGATGCAAAATGCCCACAAAGACACACAAAAAAATCTGCAAAAACATACCAGGCAAGTACAAAGAAACACAAAACAGCTGCAGAGAGATGCAAGGCGACAAAAACAGCTGCAAATAAATGTGAAACAGACAAAAACCAAACCACAGAGACGAAAAACGACCACATAGAGAAGCTAAATGACCACAAAGACACACAAAACTATTGAAAAAAGAAGCTTAACAACTCCAAAAGAGCACAAAACAACAATAGACACAAACTGAGTGCAAAAATACAACAAACAGGCGTGAAACAGCCACAAAGAGACACAAAATAAGCTTCACAAAGACACATGGAGACAACCACAGAGAGGAGAATAAGCATTAAGAGATGCAGAATGACCACAAAGACACACAAAAGAGCTGCAAAGAAATACGAAACAGACAAAAAACGAACCACAGAGAAGCAGAATGACCACAAAGACACACAAAGAGAAGTGTAACAACTCCAAATGGACACAAAACGACTACAAACAAACGTGAAACAGCCTCGAGGAGACATGAGTCAGAGGTCACCCCGGTCCGGTTCACCTGAGAGTCGTCAGACTAAAGTGAAGCTGAGCAGAACGAAGGCGAAGCTAAAGAGGCGACGGATCGGCAAAGACAAGCAGAACTAAAAGCTGAAGAGACGAACGGAACGAAGCAGCGAGCGGACAGCGAGAACCGAAACAGGAGAGCAGCTGACGGAGGCGGACGCATCAGGTAACGACGGTTTGGATTCATCTGGATCATTTCAGAGAAAATCAACCGAATCTGCAGTAGTTTTAATCAATGCAGCAGAGTTTTACCTTCATACTGTGAATAAGTTCAGAGTTACAGGACAAAATGACTCAAAAACTTATCCAGAATGATGTAAAGATGGTAGAAAATTACATCCATTGCAGGTGAGAACCAGAATGACACAAAGATGATTTAAAATGACACGAAATGATCAAAATTCACTGAAAATTGTCCAAAATGACTCGAAAAATGCTGTAAAATGACAAAATTTGTTCAGAATTAGATGAAAATTATCCAAATTTAATGAAAATATGTCCAACATAACATGAGAATCTTCCAAAGGGAACTGAAAATATTCAAAATACTTTAAAGTTATCCAAAGTGACTCAAAAATAGTTCAGAATGACATTAAAATGGTCCAAAATGACTTAAAATAAATATCCAAAATGATGTGAAAATGATCTAAAACTACATCATTTCCAGCTGAGAATCAGAACGACACGTCAATGATCCAAAAATTATTCAAAATGACTCGAAATTATCAAAATCAACTGAAGATTTGTTCAGAATGACATGAAATTTACCTAAAATGACTCTAAGATTTATCTAACATTTGGAAAACTACAGAAAATTTGTCCAAGATGACTTTAAAATTATCCAAAATTATCAAAA